GCATATTTGATGCATGTTTTTTTCCTATAATTCTTTAAAGGCAGAACATGATGAGTCTAACAGAAACTTCATAATACAGATTAAGGTAAATTCACCTTGCTAGAATGAACAGCAAGTAATTCTAATAAATACAATTAGATATTACTTCCCATTCTGAAAATAACAAATGACCTTTTGACAAGATTTATTTTTTTTATGCCACATTCAATAAAAATAAATAAAATAAAATAAAGTACAGCTAATGCAATTTTCGGAATATCCATTGCATCCATACACCATCAAACATAATAATTGGCACAAGCTTAACCTTCAAAGAAGCCTGAAGACTATTGCTTAGTATGATAAGCAGTGGTTTGTTTTCCCTATGGTCCTATTACATGAGGAGTTTTCAACCTCCAGATACAATACATCCTTTTTCTTTTTCTATGTAAAAGAGCACTGTCTTTGTGAAAACATTATACAAGCATAGTTACAGTGATGCATCTAACATGGCACAACACTCATCCAAAGACACATACCTCGTGGGAGGGGGGGAAACTGATATAAACAAGAGGGTGACACTCAAATAGGCTGAATTCGCCACCTATACATGATCTCCCTTAGTGCTTATCACCAATAGCTTCAGGAACTGTATCAAAATCAACATTTAAAAATATCACTTATACTGTATGTATTAAGTTTAACATTCTGTTCATATGTACATACATGATGGTCCAAGTACCAGAAAGATTTTAAGAGCATGACATTCTTTAACATTTACTTATGAACTACATATTTATCATCACCAACAGTGTCATGTCCTACTACCTCAAGAACATGTCACCTCCAATCAAAACAAAAACATAAAAAAAATCAGCTGACATCTACAACACATAACAAATTATCCAACATCTCTTCGGGGCCAAAAAGGAAAAAAAGACTCAAGACTTGCAAATCGACACCTACCGCACCTTCCACTATAGGTAGACATAAGTCCTGAAGTGCCTTTAAGAGCATAAACCCCACATGCTATACAAAAAAAACACCATGCAGCACCTTCCCTCCACTATGGGAAGTTCGGGTCCCAAACGCAGCAACCTCAAACGACAAAGGGAAACGTTACTCTGAAAAATCCTGTTGTATGATCGGAGTTTGGGAAGCACAGGCCGAACACAGTCAGGTTCCTCGATATCACAGACGACACTGAAGGAAAGGATAATAATAATAATAAATAATAATAATAACAACAATAGCAATAATAATAATAATGATAATAATAACAACAATAGCAATAAAGATAATAATAATAATAACAATATAATAATAATAACAACAATAGCAATAATAATAATAATAACAACAATGATGATGATGATAATAATAATAACAACAATGATGATGATGATAATAATAATAATAATGATAATAATAACAACAATGATGATGATGATAATAATAATAACAACAATAGCAATAATAATAATAATACTAATAATAATAATAATGATAATAATAACAACAATGATAATGATGATATTAATAAGAACAATAATAGTGTTAATGATAATAATAATGATATTAATAACAACAATAGCAATAATAATAATAATAATGATATTAATAACAACAATGATGATGATGATAATAATAATAACAACAATGATGATGATGATAATAATAATAACAACAATGATGATGATGATAATAATAATAACAACAATAGCAATAATAATAATAATACTAATAATAATAATAACAACAATAGCAATAATAATAATAATAACAATAATAATAACAATATAATAATAATAACAACAATGATGATGATGATAATAATAATAACAATATAATAATAATAACAACAATGATGATGATGATAATAATAATAACAACAATGATGATGATGATAATAATAATAACAATATAATAATAATAATACTAATAATAATAATAATAACAACAATGATGATGATGATAATAATAATAACAATAATAATAATAATAACAACAATAGCAATAATAATAATAATATAATAATAATAATAATGATAATAATAACAACAATAGCAATAATAATAATAATAACAACAATGATGATGATGATAATAATAATAATAAATAATAATAATAACAACAATAGCAATAATAATAATAATAACAACAATAGCAATAATAATAATAATAACAACAATAGCAATAATAATAATAATACTAATAATAATAATAATGATAATAATAACAACAATAGCAATAATAATAATAATAACAACAATAGCAATAATAATAACAATACCAACAATGATGATGATGATAATAATAATAACAACAATAGCAATAATAATAATAATAACAACAATAGCAATAATAATAATAATGATAATAATAACAACAATGATGATGATGATAATAATAATAATAATTAATAATAATAATAATAACAACAATGATGATGATGATAATAATAATAACAACAATGATGATGATGATAATAATAATAACAATAATAATAATAATAACAACAATGATGATGATGATAATAATAATAACAACAATAGCAATAATAATAATAATAACAATAATAATAATAATGATAATAATAACAACAATGATGATGATGATAATAATAATAATAACAACAATAACAATAATAATAATAATAATAATAATAATAATAATAATAACAACAATAGCAATAATAATAATAATGATAATAATAACAACAATAGCAATAAAGATAATAAGGATATTAATAATAACAATAATAATAATGATACTAATAATATAATAATAACAATACCAACAATGATGATGATGATAATAATAATAACAACAATAGCAATAATAATAATAATAACAATAATAATAATAATGATAATAATAACAACAATAGCAATAATAATAATAATAAGAATAATAATAATAATAATAACAATATAATAATAATAATATAATAATAATAATAATGATAATAATAACAACAATAGCAATAATAATAATAATAACAATATAATAATAATAATAACAACAATAGCAATAATAATAATAACAATAATGATAATATCTTATAACAACAATAGCAATAATAATAATAATAATAATGATAATAATAATAAAACAATGATGATGATGATAATAATAATAACAATATAATAATAATAACAACAATGATGATGATGATAATAATAATAACAACAATGATGATGATGATAATAATAATAACAACAATAGCAATAATAATAATAATAATTAATAATAATAATAACAATAATAACAATATAATAATAATAACAATATAATAATAATAATACTAATAATAATAATAACAATATAATAATAATAATAACATTATTCAATAACAATAATAACAATATAATAATAATAACAATATAATAATAATAATAATAATAATAACAATAATAATAATAATTAATAATAATAATAATAACATAATAATAATAATAACAATATAATAATAATAATAATAATACTAATAATAATAATATAATAATAATATAATAATAATAATAACAACAATAGCAATAATAATAATAATAATAATAATAATAATAATAATAATAATAATAATAATAATAACAACAATAGCAATAATAATAATGATAATAATAACAACAATAGCAATAATAATAATAATAATGATAACTAATAACAACAACAATAGTAATAGTAATAATAATAATAATAATAATAATAATAATAATAATAATAATAATAATAATAACAATGTTAACAGTACCCAAACCAGATCTATTGCTATTCAATATTCCAACATAGTACTGACTGACTGACTGACACTTAGAACAGCTGACCTTGCCAAGACAAATGAGCTTCTCTTGGCCTCGTCTTCCTAAATTCGAAAAACTCTACTTGGTACGGGAATGTGGGAAGGAGGGGGAGAGAAAAAGAAAAGAGAGAGAGAGAGAGGGAGGGGGAGAGAAAAAGAAGACAGGGGAGGAGGGAGAGGAGAGAGAGGAGAGGGGGAAAGGGAGAGGGAGAGTGGGAGGAGGGGGAAAGGGAGAGAGAGAGAAAGGGAGAGAGAGAGAAATGGGGGAGAGGGAGAGGGAGAGGAGAGGAGAGGGAGAGGGAGAGGGAGAGGGAGAGGGAGAGGGAGAGGGGAAGGGAGAGGGAGAAGGAGAGCAGGGAGAGGGGGAGAGAAAATAAAGGAAAGGAGGGGAGAGAGGAGAGGGGGGGAAAGGAAGAGGGAGGGGGAGGGGGCACAGTATAGATTCAACAACAAAATTCCAAAAAAAAGATAAAATATTGTCTCTGATATGTACTTCCATTACATACTTGTACTTGAAAAAATGCACACTTTGACGTGTCTGGTCCAACTAAATGTAAATGTATTGTCATGAAAGCTGCATCAGTCTTCTAGCTCTCCTAATCTGCCTGGTCTAGCAGCTTCTTAATGCAATTCAAAAAAATGCATTGAAATAAAATCATTAATGCTTAGTAAAAAAAAAAAAAAAAGTCCTAAATGTCATGAGCACACATGATGACTAGTCATGGATTTAGACTAGTTTGTTTTTGATGCAAATCATAAACAGAATTAACATAATCAGAAAAATAAATATAATTTAATCATACCTCATACACACAAAAGGGAAAGTCTTCCTGTTTTTTTATTTGTTGTTTTTATTAAAGAAATAATAATTTTGATTTTAAAATCTGTCAAGTGAAGGAATAAATGCAATAATGCATTTCTATAAGCTACTAACTATATGACTTTGTACCTGAGCATTTAATGCAATGAACAAAAAGGAAGAAGGAATTTCATCCTTATCAACAATAGTGCAACATTAACGTAATTTTTAAAGTGAATGACCTTGCACTGTATACCTCATTCATACACTGTTTATATTACTGTACTTACACATGCATATACCTCTCTGAATCGAACAAGCATTTACTCTTCTTCTATTTACTCTTCTTATATTCATGTTTGTAGCTGCTAACAAGACACATCTCTGTCACTACAGAAGAGAACTTCCTGTCATTACAAATTAGCACAAAAAAAAAAGTGCTCAAGATAATAACAATAATAATAAGCATAAAAAATAACAATCATGGAAAAAGACAATAATAACCAAATCAACGTACAGGCCCTGAGATACAAAGACATATATATATATAGGCCTCCTGTTGAGAGACTGTGTGACCATCTCTTTGTATTACACAGGCACATTTGAACAGTATATCAGTTTATTATTTATTTATATATTTAGTATATTTAACTTATACTCCTCATTCCCCTTATATGAAAACTTGACTTTTATAGAACTTAGATAACATTTTGAAGACACCTTCTCACATATACACACACACAAATAAAAAAAAAAATATTATAAACAAGTAAACAAATCTTAAAAAATCACAAAATCCGTTTCTTAAACCGCACAACAACAACAAAAAAAACGAGTGTGCTATCAATGCTGTGTATTTGTTTTAGCTCTCTTTAATCCTTCTTTGCACGTGGCTTGTAATAGACCGCAGCCGTGATGATCAGCAAGTTCAGCACCAAGGAAGTGATGAAGTTCAGGAGGAGGACCGGATCAGCCGACTCGACATAGATGGTGAAAATCCGGGCTGAAAAGTCCAGAGAAATCGCCAGTGAGTGATCTTTCATCGATCATAATTTATGGAATTTTTTGTAAAATAATAATCAATGGTATCAATATGGTGAACTGAAGTATGTGCTAAAATCACATTTAACCCAATGCCGCCGGGGAGAATGAATAGAAAATGGGGAAAATGCTGTGCTCATTTTCTACATTTTCGTGAAATGTCTCTACACATAGATGGCTCTGCTAGTGCTTAGCCACAAAGGAGTCAATTAATAGAACTTGTGACCTCATGTGATTTGAATTGGCGGGAAAAATGTATTTTTTACTAGTGCTATGAATATCGATGGTGTTATTTTTATTATAAACATTATAATTACTATAATTTTATAAACATTAGTAACAGCAAAATAAGATAACGTAAAATATTTTCGTAAATCAAAGAAAAGGGTAAACAGGCGAGATAGGCAGTACTCGTACTGGTGACATAGTACAAGTGTAGCCATCTATGTGTAAAAACAATCAAACAAGTACTCACAGTGGGCATAGCACATACGTACACATCGTGCCCATTGGCATTGGGTTAAACGTTACACAACAATAGTAACCTGACACCAGCAGATAATGACAACACAAATAACAGGAGGAGGAGGAGGAGGAGGAGGAAGAGGAGGAGGCGGAAGAAGAAGAAAAGGAGGAGGAAGAAGAAGAAAAGGAGGAGGAGAAAATTCATTCCTATCCACTGGAAAACATCCTTTGCTGTATCAAAAGAAGATAAAGATAAAGATGATGATAAAGTTGATGTTGATATGGAGAATGAGAAAGGAGAAAGGAGAATGAGAAGAAGGAGAAAAGAGAAGGAGAAGAAGCAGAAGAAAGAAAAGCGAAGAAGAAGGAGAAGGATAAGAAAGATGAGGAAGAGGAAAAAAGGAAGAAGAAAAAAGAATCCCATTCATTTCATCGCACAACTACGAAGACCAAGACACTATGCTTACTAAGACATGTGTAGGCGGAGATGGACCACGCAGAGACGGAGACGGTTTCCGAATTCTTGCTGCTGATAATCGCCAGCAGAGCCACCACTTTGCTACTGGCGGAGATAGGTGTGCACAGTCCCTAAGGTGCGAAAAACAAAAAAAAAACGTCATTTCACTGTAATGTAGTAATGGGGTAACAGTAACGGAAACTGTATCTTTTTTTTCTTTCTTTCTTTTTTGTCTATGTCAATTTCTCATTCATTTAGTGATGAAAAAAAATGTATATCTATAATGTATATCAAGAACAGCAACAATAAGATTAATTCTATTACAATGTTAAATAGAAAATTATAAATTTACAATGATACTAAAACAAAATGAAACTCAGCAGTCTTACAGAGCATGATTTAAAAAATACCAACAAGCTACCTCAACATTTAACAGTCCTACAAAACAAAATGTGAAATTTGTATATTGAAAATTTAATAAAAAATAATAATAATAATAATAATAAAACCTATTAAATATGAAAAGAAAAAAAATACATACAACTTAGCTCATTCTTAAAAAATCATTAAAAAAAACAACCAAATAATAATCATAAAAAAATCAACAAATAAATAACAAGAGCATGATTTAAAAAATACCAACAAGCAACCTCAACATTTAACAGTCCTACAAAACAAAATGTGAAACTTGTATATTGAAAATTTAATTAAAAAAAAAAAAAAAAAAAACTATTAAATATGAAAAGAAAAAAAATACATACAACTTAGCTCATTCTTAAAAAATCATTAAAAAAAACAACCAAATAATAATCATAAAAAAATCAACAAATAAATAACAAATATCACACAAATAAACAAAGACAAAAGCAAAAACAGCAGAACCTACCACAAGCGTTGTGATGAAGGCCTCGGAGAGCAACCCCATAGCAATCGAGTACGAAAAGTAGGCCCCTGCCGCTGCCGGGAGAATCACTAGTGGAGACAGTCGGCCAGTCAGTGACAGGAAGATGGCAAGCATGACGACGTCTTGTGTCACCATCAGCGGGTACTCGAAATACGTGATCAGGGCGTAACCGGCATACACATTGTAGCTGAGTGTGATGACGTAGCTGAAGCAGAGAGGGAATAAAGTGGGTGATATAGGGAGATACTGACTTAGAATATTTTTATATTCAAATTTTAATCTTCAATGTATCTGTAATAAGACAGACAATTTTTTTTTTTTTTTTCTTCTTTCGTAATTAATATAAAAGTCTTATGGATCAGGTCCTCAGAGCAATCTACAAACATCGGCCCTCTCTAGCTAGCCCTGGTATGAATTTTAGAGCTAGAAATACATGTCAAAATAAAAAAAATGACTGATTCTAAATGGGTAGCAAGAAATTAATCTTCTCAAAAATGTCTAAGAGCTTTAAATTTTTATTATTTTTTGCTTATACTAATAGATACAATAGCTATCAATGTTCTTTTATTCTGATTCAAAAGTAAATCATGCTCCCTACTGTGAAATATAAATACCATTCACTTCTTTACAATAAATTGCCTGACTGGACTAAATTCACTGAAAAAAAAAAAAAAATTATCTCTTTAATCCATCATGCAACAATACAGATAACGACATGGCTTGACAGATTTTACCATTGCCTAATTATCTTATCTATGCCACAGATTTCAGATAATCATCTACCTCTACGCCGATCATGACTGGAAGCTGCAGTAGTACCATCTATTTTATCTCTGATTATGTCTTAGCCGGCGAGACTTTTGTTGGATGACAGTCTCCAATTGAAATAATAATTAAAATGAAAACTATAATTAATAAAAAAACAGCATGAATACCTGGTAAATTACGGACAAAATTGCATCTTTGGGTTTAGAGAGAGAAGCATTTTCTATAAAGCATTTCTAGCTATCTATCAAAAAACACATCTAATAACACATTTTGGATTCCTTAGCAGAACTTTGCACAGGAAAATGTATGAACAATTTTTTCCATCCCTGTTAATTGAATACCAATATCCAAAAGTCAATAAATAACATTCAAACAATAACAACAACAAAATCAATGGATATCAATAACCCACTGGTTCCTTTTGTTCTGCCTTGATGTAAAACCCCTGAAATTTTCTATAATATATGAACAGAAAATCCTATAAAAAAAAAATACTCTTAACCCATATAGTGTCTTTCTGTTTTTACTCTTTCCTCTGTTCCCTTTCCTTCTCTCTCCTCTCCTGCCTATTCCCCTCCTGCATTCTCTTCTCATTTCCCTTTTCTCTCCTCTTATTGTCTCCTTTCCTCTCTTCCTCCTTCCTAACTTCCACAGCCTTTGGCCATTTCTTTTCCCTTACCCTCACTTAACTTTTCCCTCCCTATCCCTACTCTCCATTTTCTTCTGTCCCTTTCCATTCCTCTTCTCTTCTCTACTCCACCCATCTCATTTTCCTTTTCCTCTCCTTCTCCTAAACTTTTTTTTCCTCTCTCCTCTTAGTCTTTCTCTTCCTCTTCTCTTCCTTTCCTCTTCTAGACTTTTTTTCTCTCTCTCTTCTTAGTCTTTCTCTTCCTTTCCTCTTCTCCTCCTCCTCTTTTTTTTGTCTGTCTACTTTTTTCCCTCTCCTCCTCCTCTTTCTTACCTATTCCTTCCCTCTTCTCCTCCTCCTCTTTTCCCTCTTCTCTTCCTTTCATTTCCTCCTCTTTTTTCCATCATCTCCTTTATATTTTCCTCTCTCTTCCTTTCCATTTCTCTCCTCTTCCTCTTTCTTTTCCCCTCCACTTCCTTCCCTCTCCTCCTCCTCCTGTTTCTTAGTCTCTCCATTTCTTTCCCTCTCCTCCTCCTCTTTCTCATCATCTATTCCTTCCCTCTTCTCCTCTTCCCTTTCCTCTCCTCTTCCTTCCATCTACTCTTTCTCCCCTCTCCTCTATATTTCCTCTTATCTTCCTTCCCTCTACTCCTCCTTATTTTCTTCCCACTTCCTTTCCCTTTTTTTCCTCCTCCTCTTTCTTTTCCTCCCCCTTCCTTCCTTCCTTCTCCTCCTCTTCTCAATCATCAGCAGGTGTTTCCACAGCCATTCACATTAAATGTTAAAAGATGAATTCGGTACAAGGTTATTTTAATTCAAAACATGATATTTTCTGTTACAGATTAATGTGAAAGGCTTCCAGATGTTTAATTAGAGAACTATCTCTGTCTGCCTGTGTTCTTTTTAATACTCTGATATCTATAACTAACTACAAGATCTTTCATCACATTACAGAAAAGAATAAACAATTTCTTTTGGTTTCTGATCTCTATTTAATTAATTTAGCTTGTGTGTACTTTAATTAATAACAAGAAAAAAAGAAAAAAGAAAAAAAAGAAAAAAAAGAAAAGAAAAGAAAGAAAGAAAAAAATATATATACATACACACAAACACACACACACACATAACTGTATATATATATATATATATATATATAT